GAGACACTAACAACATCTTCTGCAACAAAGTTTTACTTTTCAATTGTAAGTATATTCGAATTGTTATAATCCCATTATTGTATAGTGGCTAACAGGATTTGGTGTGTCTATCTTGAGAACTTTACTCACCCAATATTTTTTCTCCAGCAAAGAACAATAATAGATTTTGAGGTACAGAAGTGATGGATTGTGTTGGATAGCATCAGTTTGCTGCGATTGTTCCACTCTCTATTTTTCTCCACCCTGCTCTGTACCTAAGGAGGTTGACCTATTATAGGCAATATTAATGGGCTCCTTTATCATCTAGCTTAATTTTAAGTTTGGCTTGTGAAGAGCACTGGCAAGAGATATGAGAGCATGAGGAAACTTAAATCTGGATATTTATTCTTTCCTCTCCTGATGAATCTCAATGGTTTGGTGGTGTCTCTTTAATAAAGGCTACATTTGTCTAATGACACTCAGATACAACCACCTGTATAGTTAACTTCTGTCTCCTCTTGCCTCTTCAGGCACCTTTTTCAGGTGGTAATGACTCTCTTCTGTTGTGAGACCCAGAATACCATATTTTCCTATACAGATTTCTTTACACTTTATAGTTCCTTTTATTAAATTACTCAAAGAGAATATATTGTTAGGACTCAGTATGTGTATTAGCCTTCTGTATTTTTTAACTTTGAATTTGCTGCTTATTTTCTTTCTTATTTTTATATTGGTTCATTATTTCTTATAGATTTATAAAAGTTCTTCACTTATTATGGATGTTAATTATTTGTGAGATCTATGACAAATAATTTCTCCCAATCTGTCCTTAAACTTTGCATATGGTATCTTGTATTATACAAACCTTAAAAGTTTTTATATAATCAAATATGTCAATATTTTTCTTTTTATAAACTTTTAATGTTCTTTCTTGCTTAAGATGTTCTTTTTTTAAATTTCAGTCATTTTTGAGGAACAGGTGGGTCTTTTTATTATGTGAAGAAGTTCTTTAGTGGTAATTTCTGAGATTTTGGTGCTTCCATCACCTGAGAAGTGTACACTCTACCCAGTGTGTAGTCTTTTATCCCTGACCCCCATCCTACCCTTTTCTGCTAGTTCCCAAAATCCATTACACTTTTCTTATGCCTTTGCATCCTCATAGCTTAGCTGCCACTTAGGATTGAGAACATATGATGTTTGGTTTTCTATTCCTAAGTTACTTCTTTAGAATAATGATCTACAGTTCCATCCAAATTGCTGCAAATGCCATTATTTTGTTCCTTTTTACTGGAGAGTACAATTCCATGGTGTATATATAACACAATTTTTTAAAAATCTACTCATTGGTTGATGGATATTTAGGCTGGTTCCATTATTTTTGCAACTGCAAGTTGTGCTGCTATAAGCATGCATGTGCAGGTATCTTTTTCATAGAAAGACTTATTTTTCTCTGGGTAGATACCCAGTTGTGGGATTGTTGGATCAAATGGTAGTTCTACATTTAGTTCTTTAAGGCATCTCTAAACTGTTTTCAATAGTGGTCATATTCATTTACATTTCCACCAGCAGTGTAAAAGTGTTCCCTTCTCACCATATTCACATCAACATATACTAATTTTTATTTTTAAATTATGGCCATTCTTGCAGGAGTAAGGTGGTATCTCATTGTGGTTTTAATTTGCATTTGCCTAATAATTAGGCAAATGAGCATTTTTCGTATGTTTCTTGGCCATTTGTATATCTTCTTTTGAGAATGGTCTATTGATGTCTTTGCCCACTTTTTGATGGGATTTTTTTCTTGCTGATTTGTTTGAGTTCCTAGTTGATTCTAGATATAGTCCTTTGTCATGTGCATGGTTTGCAAATATTTTCTCCCACTCTGTGGGTTGTTTGTTTGCGAATTATTTATTTGGCTGTGCAGAAGCATCTTGTTTAATTATATTTCATCTACTTTTTTTTTTTTGCTTTTGAGATTTGCTTTGGGATTCTTGTTCATGAACTCTTTGCCTAAGCTAACATCTAGAAAAGTTTTTATAATGTTATCTTCTAGAATTTTTATAACATCAGGTCTTAAATTTAAGTCTTTGATCCATCATGAGTTGATTTTTTATAAGGTGAGAAATAAGGATCTAGTTTCATTCACGTTGCTTGCCAATTATCCCAGCACCATTTGTTGAATAGGGTGTTTTTCCCCAATTAATGTTTTCATTTGCTTTGTCAAAGATCAGTTGGTTGCAAATATTTTGCTTTATTTATGAGTTATCTATTCTGTTCCACTGGTCTATGTATCTATTTTTACATCAGTAGCATGCTGTTTTGCTGACTATAGCCTTGTAGTGTAGTTTGAAATCAGGTAGTGTGTTTTGCTGACTGTAGCCTTGTAATGTAGTTTGAAATCAGGTACTGTGATGCCTCTAGATTTGTTATTTTTGCTTAGTCTTGCTTTGGCTATATGGGCTCTTTTTTGGTTCCATATGTATTTTAGGAATGTTTTTTCTAGTTTGTGACTAATGACGTTGGTACTTTGTTGGAAATTGCACTGAATCTATAGATTGCTTTTGGCAGTATGATCATTTTCACAATATTGATTTTACCCATCCATGAGCATGGAATGTGCTTCTGTTTGTGTCATCTATGATTTCTTTCAGCAGTGTTTTATAGTTTTCCTTGTAGAGGTTTTTCATCTCCTTAGTTAGGTATGTTCCTAAATATTTTATTTTACTTCTTGCAGCTGTTGTAAAAGAGATTGAGTTCTTAATTTGTTTCTCAGGTTGGTTAGTGTTAGTGTATAGAAGTGCTACTGATTTGTGTACATTGATATATTATCCTGAAACTTAACTGAATTCATTCATCAATTCTTATAGCTTTTTGGATGGGTGTTTACAGTTTCTAGGTATACAATCATATTATCAGTAAACAGCGACAGTATGACTTCCTCTTTACTGATTTGGATGCCCTTTATTTCTTGTTTAATTGCTCTGGCTAGGACAAGAAGTTCTTATGCTCTATAACATTATTAAAATATTTGACCATATTTTCTTCAGTACTTTTGTAAATGTGTTTGTATGTTTATATTTAACATTTAATTTCAGTTTAATTTTGCATATAAGACATATGAGCCAAGCTTCTTTTTTTTCTTCAAAAAGATATCTAATTGTACTGATGATATTTATGTATCATTATGTGCTTTTTATTGATATTAAATACCATCTTCATCATAAATTAAATTTACCTGTATCCATAGATTTTCTTCTTGTTCCATGTAATCTGTTTCCTGATACACATTTCTATTCCCATGCCAATATTACAATGTTGTAGTTATTTAAACTTTATTGTATAGTTTGCTATTTAGTAGAAGTACCCATTTATTATTGTTTTTCATCCAACATTGGGGCTCTGTTTGCAAAATGACTGTTCCATTTAAATTCCATAATCTCAGGTTTTAATCAAAGCATTTTGATTTAAATTACTTGAACTTATGGACCACATTAGGACTGTTATCTTTTCATACATATGGTATGCTACTCTATTGTCTCTGTTCTTCTTTTATACCCTTCAATAAAGATGTATAATTTCCTTTATTGAACATATTTTATTAAGCCTATTCTTAGGCATATCATCTTTTAAAAATATTGTGTGTGGAATCTCCATATTTTACATATAACGTTTATATTGTTTTCCCCAATCTATAGTTTTTTATTTTTAGTTGATTTCCCTAGCTCTTCTGGGTACACATGTAATGATCACATGTAACATAATGTATATAGTTAGAATGTATAGCTAGGTTCAAAAGTGAAAAAAAATCTCCTGAATATAATAATCAATGAGGAAACATGCAGCCCTAGTGACAATCTGGAATTGAAACTCCCTGAGTGTAGCATATGCAGATATGTATGACAAGTGGGTAATGGAAATCAAGACTGCAACCCTAGGAAAAGTGGAATTTCTATTCCTTAATAATGCTTGCAGTGGATAATGAGTTGTCCCATCAGTGAATAAGACTGCATACATTCTATAAAGAACAAGGCCTATAAGCAAGTTACCAGGTCTTGGCTGGCAATAGAAACACTCATGAAAACCCAGCACTTCCAAAACTGTTTCCTGTCGATGCAGGCATTTTCCCACAATGGCTGTTTGGAGGGGGTCTTAAATGTGTGTAGAGTGGAAGACAATGGTGTCTATGTATTAATAAACTTCCCCTAATATCCTCCCTAAATGACAGAATAGCTTTACAGCTGTGAAAATTCTCACAAATCCATGGCTTCAGTATTAACTGAAGACAAAGTATGCTTAAACTGCAAAATAATTATGACTAAAAAGAGAATAATAACAAATCCCAGCATAGGATCCTTTACTTTCCCATATCACCTTCCCCACTGCAAGGCTTTATGGTGAGCAAAGGCAGACGAAAAAAAAATTGTAGAGAAGACAGAAGACAGACTGGTTAATAAAGGGTCCTATGGGTGAATTTGGAATAATAACTACAAGGATACATTCACACTAAATCTGAGAGTTCAGAGAAGGGACTAGAAGAATGGGATTTCAATGTATTTGTAATTGAAAGGGTTAAATGCCATAAAGAGTTTCAGTTGTGCAACATAAAGGGCGAGGCTTGTCATAAAGGTCTAAGTGCTTGATTTTTAAGAATGATTTTAAAGGAGAGATAAGATTTAAAAAGATAGTGTTTCAAATATATAGCTTCTGGTGAAGAAAGAAAGTTTAATAGGAACAAACAAGTATCTTTTGTGAGCATTTGAGTGAGTACTTTTATGCCTACCAAGTGATACCAAGGAAAAGGGGAAAAATTAGAATCCTATAAGACAAAACAGAAGCATATAATCGGGGACTCACAATTACTCCCTTTCAACAAAACAAACAATAGAGACAAATTAACAAAAAGTTTCATTTCTGTCTCACTCTCCAACCCTCCCTCTCTCACTCTCACATTCTCCACTCTGATTATTGTTTTGTTGTAATAAAATACCTAAAGTTGATTTTTTTTTTCGTTTTCTCTATGAAAGCACTACAAACAATGATGGTCCAGAATGGATACAGACTTGGTGGATTAGTTTTCTTTATACTGCTCTTGTTGCATGGTGTATATCAATACCATTGTCGTGCTTTCCAAACAATATGCCAGGTGACTATAAAATGACATTTACTAAAGTAGAGGATAGTGGTTTCTTCCTCCATGGTTCTTCTTGTCAGAGAATAGCTAAACTATATTAAAAAAACATGAGTGTGCCTTTTGCTGTAGTCATTTGTCATTGAGATAGAGTGTCAAGTGCTAGTGTTATTTAAGCAAATAAAGCAGAATTACTGCCAAATATTATTTGATTTATGTGCCAGAATTTCTATTTCTTTAGTTTGTTTTTTGTTATTTTGCTATTTTTATTTTTTGAGACAGAGTTTCACTCTTGTTATCCAGGCTGGAGTGCAGTGGCGAGATCTCAGCTCACCGCAACCTCTGCCTCCTGGGTTCAAGCGATTCTCCTGCCTCAGCCTCCTGAGTAGCTGGGATTACAGGTGCGCTCCACCATGCCTGGCTAATTTTTGTATTTTTAGTAGAGACAGGGTTTCACCATGTTGACCAGGATGGTCTCGATCTCTTGACCTTGTGATCCACCTGCCTTGGCCTCCCAAAGTACTGGGATTACAGGTGTGAGCCACCACACCCAGCCTATTTCTTTAGTTTTGAGATAGGGTCTTTCTCTGTCACTCAGGCTGCGTGCAATGGTATGATCACATATCACTGCAGCCTCAAACTTCTGGGTTCAAGTCATCCTCCTGTCTCAGCCTCCAGAGTAACTTGGACTACAGGTGCATGCCACCATGCTCAGCAAGTTTTAAATTTTTTTCTTTTTTTTTAAGAGATGGAGTCTTGCTATGTTGCCCAGGCTAGTCTTGAACTCCTGGCCTCAAGCTACACTTCCACCTTAGCCTCACAACGTGTTGAGATTACAAGTCTAAGCCACTACAACTGGCCCATTAGAATTAGTGCATATTTTTGGTTCTCATTATTTCCTTTAAAAATGCTTTATATCTAGAATCCATAAGTTGTCTTGTAAACCGAAGCATATTTAAATCAACTTATGCAGCATTTACTATATGGACTACCTCAGAATTGTTGTAAGACCCAATAATAACTGTTAAAATTTTCTTGAAAACACTGAATAGTACATGTAAAGTCAAATCAAATACTCTTCTGATTAGAGGACACTTCATTGGCACAAAATAGTTTTAATAGTATCAAAGATTATTCCCTTATATTTTAGAGCAAATTGGTAGCCATTTGCCAAGTGTGGCTATATAAATTTTAAAATAAATTAAAATTTTATTTACTCAGTCATTGTAACTGCACTTTAAGTATTTAATAGCCATATGTCGCCAGTGGCTACAGTAATGGACTGTGCACATATGGAAAGTTTTCATTATCACAGAATGTTCTTCAGGAAAATACTGTTTTAGAAGACTGTGTCTTTTAATTAATGAGATTGACTTTAGCTTGTTCAAAAATAACTCATTTGTCATTTCAAGATTAACTGAATTTATTAGGGTATGTAGGTATATTTTACATATGGGTTTTAGTTATTTGAATATGTCCTAAGATATTTTTACTTGTTAATATATAGGTTCAACACAGATAAAAGCTGGGAAACGTGAACAGCTTCATTTGTTTGACAGAAAATATAAAGATCTGGAACTTGGAATTAGTATCAAGGATTTATTTGCTGGCCTTTGGGTAAAGTAAAATATTATACTTGAACAAGCCAACTAAGTTGACCTGTGTAATTTTCTAATAGTGAACTTACAAAAATACCCGTAAAGTGTTTAATCTAAATCTGGGTGAAATTTTGAGGCCTTTGAACTAACTTATTCACTTTACAGATAATAAAAAATAGGACTTACCTTGCTAATAACTTGACTAGTCTCAGAGATTGGCACCAGGTACCTTCCTTCTATTTCTCTTAGTTTTATATTATTTTATGTTTACTTTTTCTCTGCAGAAATTAATCAAGCATTTAATGGGATGACATGTATGAATCAACATTATCTTTTTATTATGTTTAAGTGACTCAGAAGAGAACTCTGGAAGTTGAAAAATAGTCCCACAAACATAGTATTTTGCGGAAAATATTTCAATATTAAATGAAGAAAATCTTTGTTTTTCTAACTGAAACAAGGTCGATAATACAGATATTGTGGAGCTTAAAAACACCAACTTTTAAATAATGATTTGACTTTCCATTTGTTTTCTCTTCTGCTATTCATAACTTCATCTTTTCTGTTGTTTCCAGAATTGTATTTCTCATATATACATTGTATCAAGTCATTTCTCAGATTACTTGGTAGATGAATTTCATATTTTTTAATAGGACTTTCAAGATCCTTCACAGTAGCATGGACTAAATTTTCCTATCCCATTTCCTTAGAATTTTATTCCTCTCTCCCCCACATTCCAGCCTCTTGGTCTTTCCTGACACATTAGGTCATTTTTATATTCCTGTAATTTAGTAGAATGCTAATCCCTCTATTTAAAATGTCGTTCTCTCTCTTCTCCATTATAAAAAAAACCTATTTGTCAAATCTTACCTTATATTCCCAGGAAAAATGAGTTTCTCCCTCCTTAATACTTTGATAGATCTTAGTTATAGTATGTTATGTATATATGTATACACACACACACACACACACACACACACACACACACTTTTGTTATACTGGTTTAATCCTAAAACTATATGTTGTATAAAATCCAAAATATATTTATTTGTTTCTATTCTGTGTTCATCTTTCAATCAGATCATAAACCAATCATCCTAACTGGTTACATTTAATACAGATTTTTATATAATTTTTTAATCAAAATATTACATGTACATATATTGTAACAATGCAGAAGCAAGTTAGTTACAATCTCTTTCATATTGGCAAAAATTAACACACATTTATTAAAAGCACTAATTTAAACATGAATGTTTTTTTTTTTGGGGGGGGAGGAAGGCAGGAAGGAAGGGAATAAGGACAGTAGGGAGGAAGGAAGGGATGAAGGAAGGAAGGAAGGGAGGAAGCGGGGAGGGAGGGAGGAAGGAAGGGATGAAGGAAGGAAGGAAGGGAGGAAGCGGGGAGGGAGGGAGGAAGGGAGGGAGGGAAGGGAAGAAAGGAAATCAAGCAATGAAAGAGACATTGCCGACCTGGATCTAGAGGTTTACAAGTTGATTTCTTTTTTTTTTTGAGAGAAGGAAAAAAAAAAAATAAGTAAAGGAGAGGAAGAAAGAGGAAGAGAAAGAGGGAGAGTAAATGGAAATATTGCTCTATTTTGAAAAAAATTGGGTGTTAATAATGGCCAATCAATGTTTCATTTAAACTTATGGGTAGGTGTGATGTGGTATTGACAAGAATGTATATTTTGTGTATTTGAACTGGAGAGCGCTATAAATATTTATTAAGTTTACTTGTTCTGGATCTGAGTTCGAGTCCTTGATATCCTTATTAATTTCCTGTCTCATTTAATCTAAGTCTCCTATCTGGGTGTTAGGATCGTTAGCTCTTGTTGTTGCATTGATCCTTTTACCACTGTATCTTTGTTGCTTTAAAATCTATTTTATCCGATACAAGAATTGCAACTCCTGCTTTTTATTTATTTATTATTTATTTTTGCTCTCCATTTGGTTGGTAAATCTTTCTCCATCCCTTTGTTTTGAGTCTTTGTGTATCCTTGCATGTGATACAGGTCTGGATGTAACATACCGTTGGGTTTTGGCTGTGTCTTTTGATTGGGAATTCAGTCAATTTAAATTTAGGGTTACTGCCATTTGATGTTGACTGGCTGTTTTATCCATTTGTTGGTGTAAATTCTTCTTTATGTTGGTGCTCTTTACTTTTTGGTGTATTTTTAGAAAGGCTAATACTGGTTGTTTCTTTCTGTGTGTAATGCTTCTTTCAGAAGCTCTTGTAAAGCAGGCCTGGTGGTAATAAAATCTCTGAGTTGTTGCTTGTTCATAAAAGATTTTATTTTTCCTTCAGTTGTGAAGCTTAGTTTGGCTGGATATGAAATTCTGGGCTGAAGGTTCTGTTCTTTGAGGATGTTGAATATTGGCCCCCACTCTCTTCTGGCCTGTAGAGTTTCTGCCAAGAGATCTGCTGTAAGTCTGATAGGCTTGCCTTTGTGGGTAATTTGACCTTTCTCTCTGGCTGCCCTTAGTATCCTCTCCTTCGTTTCAACCCTGGTGAATCTAACGATTATGTGCCTTGGGGTTGCTCTTCTTGAGGAATATCTTTGTGGTGTTCTCTGTATTACCTGGGGTTGAGTGTTGACCTGCTTTGCTAGTTTAGGAAAATTTTCCTGAATAATATCCTGAAGGGTATTTTCCAGCTTGGATTCATTCTCTCCGTCGCATTCAGGTACACCTATCAAACGTAAATTTGGTCTTTACACATAGTCCCACATTTCTTGGAGACTTTGCTCATTCCTTTTTATCCTTTTTTCTCTAATCTTTTCTTCACGTTTTATTTCATTAAGTTGGACTTTGACCTCTGATATCCCTTCTTCTGCTTGAACAATTCGAGTGTTTAAACCTGTGCATACTTCTCGGAGTTCCTGTATTGTATTCTTCAGTTCCATTAATTCATTCATACTCCTCTCTAAGTTGTCTATTCTCAATAGGATTTCATAAAACCTTTTTTCAAAGTTCCTAGTTTCTTTACATTGGGCTAATCCCGGGATGTTAGCCTTCTGTCATCAGGAGGCGCTCGTTCTCCATCAAGCCTTGTTCCACTGTTGATGTGGAACTGAGATCATCTTTAGAGGGAAAGGCGTTCTGACTTTGAGTATTCTCAGCTTTTATACGCTGGTTTCTTCCCGTCATTGTAAATTTATCCTCCTGTCGTCTTTGAAATTACCAACTTTCAGATTAGGTCTCTTGAGTGGACGTCTAGGTTGTTAGTTCCCAGGGCCAGAGCAGCGGCGTTAAAACTGATGGTGCTTTTCTGCCCAGGATTCTCCTGTCGGGCTTCCTTCTTGTTTCCGTAGTAGGCGGCTCTGCCTTCCCGGGGCTCCAAACCTCAGTCAGAAGGGGAACCGGTCCTGTTTACTCTGTGCCGAGCGCTGCCGCGTCGAGGTGCCGGCGGAACCGCTGCGCCGACCACGAGAGTCTTGCTGGCGACTCTTGTGTTTCCACCACTGGGGGATCTTCTGCTCCGTGAGCGACCAGAATTTGTCTCAAAGTGTGGCGTCCTCTAGTTCTCTGCGCCTTCCCTGAGAGCTGCAATCCCGGGATGTTAGCGATCGGCCATCTTGGATCGTTTCTAAACATGAATGTTTTAAAGGTTTTTAAGTTTAATGCCAGAAAAGAAAAAAAAAAAGCCAATTCCAATACTTCTCTCTTGGAAATGGAGCATTTTATTATTATTGCTAGACAGGTTATAAAATAATGCCTAGCAACAGCCTTAGACTTCTGACTAACATCTATTTGAGTAGATACCTAGAAGATATCTTATTTCTTCTTAAAGTTTATCAGAAGGTGGAACTTTTAGAATTGCAGAGCAAGAAACATGGAAAATCCTTACCTCCAAGAGGTGGTGATAAACTGGCAGAATTGTCAACAACTATTTTGAAAGTCTGGAAATTAAGCAAAGGCATACAATAAATTGAAAGCCTTTATTCAAGAGTTATTGAACATTGGTTAGAAGAGTAGGCTCTGTGACATTTAAATTTGGGGCTGTATCCACAGTCTTTTCTTCCCTTCCTGTCCTCTATGTCTTGGTAACAGAGAAGGCTATTTTCTTTGATCTAGAAAATAAGAAAACTAATAAACAGTAGGATGAGAAATTTAATTTGCTAAAGGCCAGTTTTCTTCCTGCCACTTGAGGTGGTTGCTCTAATTTGGAGCTCCATGGAAAAGTCCTAGGACAGCAATGACAATATTGGTGGCAAATCTTTGGAAAAGGCCAACATCACAGCTATCAAAGGCAGCAATACTGGTTAGGGTAAACAGTAAAGCAGCTGAAAATATGAAAGATATATATGGCCAATGATATTGGACTTTGAAAGCTCTAATACATTCTTGGGGATCTGTTCACATGCTCAGGAGAAGTCAGAGATGGCCCTAGTTATCTGCTGGTTCTTGGCTGACCACAAGTCCCTACATAAACAGAAAGTGGAAGTCAAAGCAGATTTTAAACTGCCTGAAGTTTGAATATGTGATTCAATCCATGTACAGGTCCCCTCAGCAAAAAGTGGAAGCCCTACTGACCCAAGATATTTAAGTAAAACCCCAGCCCAATTATTGGGTGGAGATCAAGCTGTACTGACCCTAGGGTGACTCCTGGGAAGCTAGGCTTAAAAATGAAGAAAATAATTGAAAGTAGAGCATAGACTTCAGTGGCTGCACACTCCCAGGGAGATATAATTTATTTAATTAGTCCTGAAAAGCAGTAAGCAAAAGACAGAAAACAGCAACACACAACTCCTGAGGGTGGGGAAATCAGAATCCAGAAAACCTACAACGTATTATTAGTGTCCAGTTTCCAATAAAACCTCAGGAAAAATAAAAGAAAGAAGAAAATGTGACCCATATAATGAAAAAGTCAGTACAAACTGTCTCTGAGGTGGCTCAGATGTTGGATATAGTAAACAAAAACTTCATGTAAACTATTATAAATATATTCAAAAGAATTTTAAAAATGTTTGCTTTTTCTGTTTCTTTTCTTTGAGACAGGGTCTCACTCTGTCACCCAGGC